ACATAAATTATAGGAACAAATAGTTTCTCTTGAAAATTGAAAAAAGAACACTTGGAATTTATATCAGTTTTTGGAGCTGGAGCAATAGCACAGCGGGTAGGGTGTTTGCCTTGCACGTGGCTGTCCCGGGTTTGATTCCCAGCATCCCATATGGTGCCCTGAGCACTGCCAGGAATAGTTCCTGAGTGCAGAGCCAGGAGTCACCCCTGAGCATCGCCGGGTATGACCCCAAAAGCAAAAATAAAACCCCCCAAAACAGAATTTGTATCAGTTTTTAAATTATTCAAAATAGAGAGAAAAAGAGGAACAAATCAATTCATTATGAAAGATCAGATACTAAAGTCAGAGAAAAATAATAGAAATAAACAAAATTGTATACTGAGAGTCACTGAGTATAGATACACAAAATTCCTTAACAAAATGCTGACATATTGAAATGATTATACACTGTGACAATGTAAGTCTTAGCTAATGATGTTAATGAAGGTAATATGCCTCATTAAAATCAAAAGTAAAAACAATGTATAATAATCATAATTAACACTAAGAAAAAATGGAAACCATAATACAACAGCCTTTATGATTGAAATAACAAAAACAGAAAACTAGGAACAGAGGTAATTCTTCAACATAAAAATGACTAGTTTTGTAAAACTCAGATCACATCATACTAATCTTGATACACTGAAAGATTTATCTGAGATAAAAGCAAAAAGAAGATGTTCATTTTCACCACTACTATTCAATAGTGTACTGAATTTTATAGTCAGAGAAATTAGATAATAAGAGAAATGAAGTATTCAATATTAAATTATATTAAATTAATCTAATAATAAATGATCTCTAATCACATAACCCATAATCTATGTATGAAAATCTCTGAGGATTCTCAAAAAATGCTACTAAATCTCTGAGGATTCTCAAAAAATGCCACTAATAAATAAATGTGGCCAAAATTCAGGGAGCTAATAAATAAATTTGACCAAAATTCAGGCTGGAAGATTCGCATCCAGAAATTCTATTTTTGTTATAGTATCAACAATGAAGAACTTAAAATGATAATTAAGAATATAGTTTCATTTTAAAGAGTATTAAGAAGCTTAAGTTCTTAGGAATAAATTTATTCAAGAAGGTATGTGTACTGAAAATTGAAAACATTCTTGAATTGAGGTTCCAGGTGAAAATAAAGTCACTCCAGGATCATGGATTGAATGCAATATTTTTATAATTATAAATATCAACCAATGTGATTTATGATTTCAATATAATTCCTAACAAGATACCATCTGCTATTCTTCAGATAGAAAAGACTTTCCTTAAGTTCATATGGAATTGTGGTCAGCACAAAATAGCCCTACTATCCTGAGAAAGAACATAAAGAATATACATCTTTTGGTTTCAAAAGTTCCAGGGCAAGATTAATGAAAATTGAATCAATAAAGGCAGGTAGACCTATGGAACAGAAGATGGAGTTTAGAAATAAACACATAATACAACTATTGCCAATTGATTTTGAAAAGTCTGCCAGCCAAAATGACTTTCCAAGTGAGGAAAAGAATGTTTTTCAATCGGTGGTGCCTGGATGATAGGATTTTCACATCTAAAAGAATAAATGCTGTGCCTTATCTCAAAACACATAAGCAATTACTCAAATGGATCAAACACCTGAATGTTAGAGCTAAAACCACAAAGCTCATAGAGGAAAACACATGTAAAAAAATATGTACCTGAATGAGAAAAGTACAACATAAAAGAAAAAAAACATAATTAGATTTCAAATATTTAAGCAGTTTGTTCATTAAAGGGCAACATAAAAAATGAAAGCAACTGACACAACAATTTATGAATAGTCTATAGTTTCAAGTAATATATTTCAGAATGATTGAATATCTTTAACAGATTGAGTACCTCTAATTTTATAACAAACTAAAATCTACATTAAAAATGGGCTAAGGACTTGAATTGACAATTTCCCCAAAGTGATATACAAATGACCAATAAGATTGTAAGCTCAGTCTTATTAGTGATTAGGGAAACGCAATTCAGTAATTCCGTAAAATAATTCAAACTTACAAGGTTGATTTTGTAGAAAACTAGAATTTTAAATGTGGAGAAATTAGTGTCCTTGCATACTTACAAAGTATTAGAGTAAATGTAAAATGATATGTTTGCAGTAAAAAATAGTTTGATATTACCAAAAATATTCAGCATTTTAGTAATACCAAATTACATCCTTAAGTTTATAGTCAAATGAACTAAAAACTGATGTGATGTAAACATATATTTATGGATATACTATGAACAAAACAAAAATTGTGTTAAAATGTTCCACATGTATAAAATAGAATACCATAATTTAACAATGAGAAATGTATATCTTAATGTGACACCTACAAAATTACACGTGAAGTGGCAAATATTTTTTTCTTTGTGTAAGTTATTAATTTAAGCAATAATAATTTCTTATAAATATTTGACTCTAGAAATTGCTGAATTTAAAATTGACTTTTAAGCTGTGCTTATGCAACATTAAAAACACTTATTTTTGCTATCTTTTGAAGATTATGGTGTAGTATACATACATAAATGTCAACATGTGTATATTTAGAGGGCAGCTGGTCACTTGCAATTATTTCATTGTTTTCAAAGCTTTTATTTATTTGATGATCATTAACCCTAATTAATTATAAGTATAGCACTTGACTCGAATAACACAGTAACAACAATTCTCACAATGGAGATGTTACTGGGACTGCTCGAGCAAAATCGATGAACATCGGGAGGACAGTGCTACGGTGCTTGCAGGACTGGAAACTAGTGTGCCTGGCAGGCTGAATAACACTAAAGCACTATCCTCCCATTGTTCATCAATTTGCTTGAGCTGGCCCAGTAATGTCTTTATTGTGAAACTTGTTGTTACTGTGTTTGGCATAACGAATACATGTCTGTAGCTTGCCAGGCTTTGCCCTGCGGGCGAGATACTCTTGGAAGCTAGTCAGGCTCTCCAAGACAGGGAGAGGAATCGATCCTGGCTCGGCTTGGTCTGCTGTGTAGGCCATGTGCTATTGCTCCAGCCCAATAAGTATACATCTAGTTTATTTTACTTTCATATTCTGTATAAGAAGCAAACATCTTCTCATAAAAACAGTTACTTATTGTACACTTACAATGTTGGATACTGTGTCATCTTTTTCATGAGTAAAAAAAAAATTAGAAAAGAGATAAAATATGTTTGAGTGTATAAGTCGGAGCTTTGGATTTAGGTTTAGCAGATAAAGTTGAAAACAGAATGTTTAAAATAATTATTTTAGTTTTAACACTAAAATGTGTTCATTACAAAACAGTAGCATGAGCATCCTAAAGATGTGATAAGATTAGGTTAAATTGTAATTAAGAAAAACAATAGCGGTCTAAGATGGCAGGATGACTGTCAAACAGAAGGCCTTTGAAGAAAGGTTAGTAGCTTTTACAAAGAGAGATTGTAAAGAACTTAGCTCTAGGGGCTGGAGAGATAGCACATAGCACAGTGGGTAATTTGCCTTGCACACAGCAGATCCAGGTTTGATTCCCAGCATCCCATAAGGTCCCCAGAGCACCACCAGGAGTAATTCCTGAGTGCAGAGCCAGGAGTAACCCCCGTGCATTGGCGGGTGTGAGCCAAAAAGAAAAAAAAAAGAACTTAGCTCTATACTGAGATCCAGGAAAGTTATTTGAGTTCTTAGAAGTTTATATTTAAGGAGAGTAGTTGGGTACAACAGAAACAGACTCCTCAAAACAAGATTTTTTGTTCAGTTTAGCTCTTTTTGACACCATAAACATTTATGTATGCATATACACAATTACAGAAAAATAAATGGTATTAACAAGAGAATGAAGTCAATAAGTCAGTCACAATTTAACTACATTTTAACACAATCCTGTTACTTTTCTCTCAATCATACATTGTGTGTGTGTGTGTGTGTGTGTGTGTGTGTGTGTTGAAGTGTGTGCACATATGTTTAAATGGTTATCTAGTGTGGTTGGGTTCAGCATAGATCCAAACTTCTGTCTGATGCTGATATTCTGTAACATTTCTTTGAAAAGTTTTATATTTATATTAGTTTAAAAGATGTGAAATGGTAAAGAAAAAGATCAGCTTATATTTATTAAAAGACAATAGGTCTTGATTTTTTCAGTTCTAAATAATTAAACAAGATTTTAAACTACATGTTGCTTTTAATCAATTGATAACCAATAGAACTAAAAAAAAAAACTTAACCTCTAATAATATTCCTCAAATCTGAAAGCAATTGCTAATAAAAATGCAATTTTTAATTTTTATTTTATCTTATTGCTTGTACTAAAGCAGCAATAAATTTTTGTGATAAGCGCCTGCTAGAGCAAATTGATGAGTAATGGGATGTGAAGTGATCAAGTGATCAAGAATATTTCCCTTATATAAATATAAAAATTTAGTGTGAATATCTGGTCAATTTTACTTAATTCAGTGGTTGTACTCTACAATCAGATATTAAATGTTAAGCTTTAATACTGCTGTAGATGTATATTAACATTTATTAATTAATATTTTATTTCTTTTTATGTTGCTAAATGATATCTTTATTTATACAGAATTATTCAAAATTAAAGACATAAACACTTAGATAAAATGTAAAAACTAAAATCATTAAAACATCTTTGCACTAGAATAAAAGGAAAGTAGCTGAATTAATTAGAATATGTCTACATTGAAGTTTTCTGAAGTTTCATTACATGATCACTCATCACTCTGTCTTAACACCGAGGCATAAAATTTCTATAAAGTTGTTTAAGTATCTGCACTGTTCTAAACAGAATTGGTTACACCTCAGTAAGAAGAAAAATACATTATTTTCTAAATTTGTGATCCTTGAAGGTTTTTACACTACATAAATGTGAAATAGTATTGTTGATCACTGCAATTATCATTTCACCATTCAATTGAAGTAGTTGATATTTTCAAAAATCAGACAATGTGCAAATTCTGTCATAATAAAACATTTATTTCTTAAAGTGATATAGATTATTCAAGATTCTACAGTCTTAAATCATGGATGGCAATGTAACATGGATTGATACAGAACTCGATACCAATGTAGGCTTTTTTTCTTTCCTTCTTTAAAAAAAAAAATAACAAACACTAGTAGGCCAGAAGAAAAAAAATGATTTTAAAAGGGTATGAACCATGTTCTGATGGAGCCAGTTCCGCCATCATCAGTAACAACTGCTTTAGCTCCAGTGATAGCTTCTTTCAGGACACCACTTCAACAATTATCCTTGTGAATTAAAACATTTTTAAATTTTATCCAGTAAAAATATCAGTGGCAACGTTTTTTTCAGGAGAAAGAAGTAGTGCTCTTCATATTAATTCCAGCCTCTGAAATTGAAGAAAAAAAAAGGGGGGGGGGGAGAAAAAAGAAAGAAAAAACTTAGTTAATGAGATCATTGTACAAGCAATCTTGCACTACTTGAACTTTAAATTTAGGCAGGAGTTTCATGCTATAGAATACATGTCATATCTCTGAAATCTATTTACATGTACACATCAGATCTTAAAACACTGACTGCTAACTTCAAATTGGTGAATATATATAAAGGAACAACGTTAAAAAGAAACATAAAAATTTAAGTAGATGTTCAAGTTGAATTGTGGCATGAAATTTTCATTTTTCACTAATTTTTATATTTATATCAATAGAAAAATAATATTAGTCATTAGTGCATTTCATTTAAGTTTTCACAAAAATTCAAATGAATTTTAAAAAATAGACATTTTACATCAAAGTCTTCATCATATTCTGATGATGTCTAATGATACTCTCCTGATTTTTACATGGTCAGTGGAGAATTTTTTAGAGTTTAATTATACATAGCAAAGGCTATTTTTTTTCATTAATTGCTTGTTCACCCACATGTGCAATGTGAAAATGGGCAAATTTATGAGTAGAGAATTTTTGAGAATATGAAAAATTATATATAATACTTAAATATGAAGCAAAATATTTTCATCCACTAGAGTTATTAGAATGCATAAACTTTGATATGCCTATAATTTCTATCTTGTAAAATATTATGGGAAATAATTTTTGAGAAACCTATGATTTTGTACACATAAAATATTTTCTTCTTCCCATTGCAGAACAACTGCATGTTTATAAGCTTGGGGGTTATAAAATATGTGGCAGAAATAAATAATAAAATATAAAGCACTGTGGCACTGTCCTGTTGTTCATCAGTTTGCTTGAGTGGGCCCAGTAAGTCTCCATTGTAAGACTTCTTGTTACTTTGTTTGACATATTGAATACGTCATGGGGAGCTTGCCAGACTTTGCTGTGAGGGTGAGATAGTTTCGGTAGCTTGCTGGGCTCTCCAAGAGGGGCAGAGGAATCGAACTCGGGTCGGCCATGTCGGGTGCGTGCAAGGCAAATGCTTTACCCACTGTGCTATAAAGTTTTAGTTAAATTTTTAGTTAATATTTTCGTTCAAACTGCTGATATGTTTGTTTAATCATTTTTATTTGTTTTTGGTCCATACCCAATGATAGTTGGGGCTTACTCCTGTCTCTCCACTTGGGGAATCAATTCTGGTGGGCTTGCAGACCATATGGCATGCAGAGGACCAAACCCAGCTAGGAAATGGCCCAGCCCAGTAGATCTTCTCGCTGGCCAAGTATTTGTTTATTCTTATGTGATAAAATTATTTATGAAAGTGTGGAAAATTCTAAGGATTATATTATGGTAGTCATAAACAATGTAGTAATACATAGTATAAATGTAACGCTAAATAGTATAGAAATATTAAAAGGCAGATCATATATGTGCTTTCTATTTATAAAAGTAGTTACATTTGAATGTACTCAAATAGAAGCACCTATCTATAATATGATACTTTCCCTGGAATATAACAAAAAAATGGCAAAATCACTTCACATTAAAATGTAATTCATCTAATTTAATCTCTTCTGAATTCATACTGTAGTTCATTTTTTTTTGTTGTTTGTTTTGGGGACACATCTAGTTATGCTTAGGGATTACTCCTGGCTCTGCACTGAGGAATTACTCCAGGTGGTGCTAGTAAGGTATTGGGATCTAACCCACTCCCTGTGTGCAAGGCAAACACTTTACAAATTGTACTATTACTCTGGCCCCAATATAGTTCATTTTTGTGAAATATATATGTGTACATATACATTTCATGTTTATATTCCCAAACAGAAAATATACCTGGAGAAAGATATAGTAAGTAGCATAACTAGTAATGTTATTTGTTCTACAAACTAACATATTCAAAAGAGTTTCAGATTTAATTTAACATCAAATAATAACAATATTAGCATAATAGAATTTCAGCTCCTATAAAAGCTGTTACTTCGGGGTATAGGAAATAAGAATTTCTAGTTTTGTGAAACTGCAGTGTAAAGATTTTCTGTTTTTAAATTACACTAACAACATGATGTCATATGATGCAGCACAATAAAATTTTATTTATTTAAGATAATCAAAACAAAACTTGACTATATCAACTAGGACAACTCTTACAATGATTTCATAAGACTAAAAGCATGAAAAATAAAGTTATAAAGTTATAATAACACCACAAAAATCAAAAAATAGATTATCATTTTTAAAATGTTAGAAAAACTAAAAATAATAAGCTGGGGGATAATTTAAAAATGATTGCAGAGCCATATGTAATCCCAGAGCATAGCCAGGTATGTTCTGGTATCCCCACACCACTCCCCCATGAAATAAAAAAAAATTCTAGGTATGTGTTTATTCTATTAGTATTTAAAAAATTGCTGAGGTCTATCTAATTAAATAGCATTACATTTATAGGTATAGCAATATTTTTAAATAAGCAAAGGCAGAAATCTCCATAGAAATTTATAAATACTTTTTGTATTGGTGGTGTGTTAGGGTTACACCTGGCAGTGATTAGGGCTTCTTCCTGCTATTGTGTTTATTAGGAATTACTTCTGGAGGTTCAGTGAACTATATAGGGCGCTGGGGTCAAGTCATGGTGAAAGAAAGGTAAATGTCTTGAGGTCTGAAATATCTCTCAGGTCCAAGATTTATAGATGCTTAAATTTGCAGAGTTCCCTATGTAGTTGACTATATAACCCTGTAAAAAATTCTAAACAGAAAAAGCTTAGCTATCATCTGATTTTGGTTTCATTAGGTGTACTATGAAGTAAAAATGAGTTTTGAGCACTTTATTTTCTATATTTTATTTTTCTTGTTGAGCACAGATTAGTTGTAAAACATTTAAAAATAGTAAAGAGTTGCTACACAAGTAAAAATATTTTTAGCTATGCTGCACCATGGATACAGGGAGCTTTTCTCTATTACTGCATTTGTTTTCTCTTGTTATTTGGCCATACCTGAAAGTGCTTGGGTCATCTGATTTGTTTTATATGCTTGGAATTTGCTACTGGTAGTGCTTGAGGAAACATGAAGTGCCACTGATCCAAACTCTGCCTCTTTATGCTTATTCTATTTGCAGCAGAAGGTTTTTTTTGGTTTGTTTTTTCTGTTTTTATTTTTTTTTCCAATTTTTTGCTTTTTGGGTTACAACCAGAGATGCACAGGGTTACTCTTGACTCTTGCACTCAGGAATTTCTCCTTGTGGTACTCAGGGGATCATATGGCATAATGGGATACTGGGAATCAAATCTGAGTCCGCTGTGTGCAAGGCAAATACCCTACTCGCTGTACTATCGCTCCAGTGTGCAGCAGAGTTTTTAATGTCAAAGTTTAAATTAAAAAATACTTTGGTACAAATAAAATAATCAGAAACTAAGCTTATTCAAATCAGAAAGTAATTATCTTAAAGTAATCATTGAATAAGCAATATTTCCAACCAAAATACTTGCTTTGAATAACCAACCAATATGTTTGGTTGGTTTGAACACAGCAAAAATGCTTTTTAATAAAATTTATTTAAGTAATTTTAGTGTAAATATGAAATAGTCAACAGTTCTATTTTAGCTATCAAAACATGGGTAATTATTTGTTTTAAACATAAAAATTTTTTTACTTTTGCTATAATTATTATTTTATTCATCCATTCTTTTTTCTACTACTCTCAGTTCACCACAGTGTGATTAGAATCTTAGACCTTTATTATAGGAAGATTGAATGTGGTGTATTTAACTACTTATGCTTCTTCTGTTTTCTATGCATATGCAGAAAGGAGTCTATGGAAGAAAACTAGCATACAGCATATTCTGACTAATGAGAATAAGATAAATGTACTAACTCTACTTTCAGGGGAAAAAAGATCATCGTAGCAGATACCTCACTATGATTAGCCACAAAAACCAAAGCTGAGAAGTGAGAAACTGTGAGCAGAACTGTCAGCACTCTGCCTCGCCTCATTCACACGTGGAGAGGTACTGCTCAAAGTGTGAAAGGCCACAAGAAGTCTGAGATCGCATGGACCAGCCTCTTCAAAGGTGCATCACTGTTCCTTGTGATGACAGCAGTACAAATGAGAGGTCTGTTACAGCGGAAATTATTCAGCAGACACCAAGAGCAGTTACACTAACATCCGATGGAGACTTAAATCTGTTAATAGGAATGTAGCAAGGAGATGGCTGATGAATGATGTACCACTAAATTTTGCCAAAATTATTCTTTTTTTCTTGGGATTTATCTTGCTAATGTTCATAGAAAAAATAGCAAAGTAATGAAAAAAAGTTTCTATGACAATGTGATAAAAGTAGTTTTTTACAGAGAACAAAGATTTAGCATGGCTTCTAAAGTAGCCTATTCCACACAGTATACTCTTCTTCCACTATGCAAATCTAATACAAAAGACACCCACTCATGCATTTGCTACCTATAGAAATGAAAAATCACTGACAAATTATGTACTAGATTATCAATATCTGTGTCTGAGTGGAAAATATGAATAATTTATGATAATTTATCTTTAGCATTATTTTTCAAAGTGCAAACACTACTAATAATTTTGGACACAAAATCCTAAAAGTCATACAGTTATCACATTAGCAGACCCTATAGTTTAGCTAGTAGACTACAGATGCCCATAAGGAGGAAATATGACTAGCTGGTGAATTACTAGTAATTGAAAATGACTGAATGATTCTCTTGCCTCCAATATTGTATTCCAATTTTGGGGTCACACATGTGGTATTTGGGGGCTACTCCAGGCTGGTGCTCAGCATTTGCTCCTAGCAGTTTTCAGGGGAAATTTAAATGACAGGATAGAAGCTAGGAGCTTCACAAATGAAGCAGCCACTTGAGCTTTTTGAGTTACTTCCCTGCTCCCTACTTCCAAATCTTGACAAGGCATTTAGCACTATCTTGGATCATACTTCTAAAAAGAGTAAACATCATCTTCCTTTTCTAAAGGTTTATAACTTTCAAATTTATAACCAAAGTAAATACCCAAGGATGAAAAAAATAGAGATCAGAGCTAGAGAGAGGGAAGAAGGTATGAAGAAAAAAGATGAAATAAATATGGAAAAGGGGGGCAAGAATAAGGGGCAGAGAGGGAGATATTAAAAATGAGAAACAGGGATGGAGGCGATTTACAAGAAAGACAAGCACACAAAGTCAGTTCTGTACACAAAATAGAACACAAAGCATGTGCCAGACACTGTGCTACTGATTGTTTCCAGAAAGCCATCTGTTCTATTTTTTCTTCAATATAGTGATGGAATTCTAAACTCAGTAAAGAACTTATATATTGAAAGACAATTTTTTTTGTTAATTGGGAAAAGGATTCAATTAGAGAAACCAGGAATCACTGTCCAAATTATTGTTGTCCTTTCAATAAGAAATGTTTTAAAAATCCAAGACCTTATTTTTACAACTATCAAATAAATCAATAGCCTTTTTAGAACTTTTTAAAGCAGTAGATTTTTTTTTTTTCTGTGCCAAACCTTAAGCAAATTGCTGGTGCTTCCAGCTGTTTGAACAGATTGCTAAAGTGCTATTCTGCTCTGGAAACACACTTTCTGATCCAATTAAAATACAGGCATCAAATACTCATTTGAAACTTAAAAAAAAAGTAATTGGTTGCTGACAAAAGGAATACCATGAATATTTCATGTGTAGTCTTCTGCTCCATTTTAAAGTGGTTTCATTCATTTTAGATGCTAAAACTCTACTATTCATCAACTTGCAATGAGGCATTATATGTCATCTCAGCGCATAGAGGTCATGGATAGGGTTGATACATTCTTTTGTTTTTGTTTTTTGGGTCATGCCTGGCAATGCACAGGGGTTACTCCTGGCTCTGCATTCAGGAATTACTCCTGGCGGTGCTCGGGGGACCATATGGGATGCTGGGAATCGAACCCGGGTTGGCTGCATGCAAGGCAAACACCCTACCCGCTGTGCTATTGCTCCATCCCCAGGGGTGGATACATTCTTATGGTAAGAGGCTATCTTCAAATTGTAAAAGTTGTGTACAACTTCATTACACCAGGCATGACCAAAAGAATGACTTCAAAGTCATGTCTATAATTAGTGTTACTAATATTTTTATAGTCTCTATCAGAAATGTTGAGTTAAACAGAAATCGGTCTAAATTTTACATTACAATTTATGTTTAACTGTACTTCAGGCTATAGCACTGGAAATTACCTTTCTTTCTTTTTTCCTTTTTTTTTAAATTTGGTTCTTGGGTCACACCTGGAGATGCTCAGGGGTTGCTCCTGGCTCTGTACTCAGGAGTTACTCCTGGAGGTGCTTGGGGGACCATATAGAATGCGAGGGATCAAACCCAGCTTGACTGCATGCAAGGCAAACACCCTACCCGCTGTACTATCACTCCGGTCCCTATAGCAATGGAAATTAAGTTTTCATGAAAAATTTAAGCTAGTAAGATTAGTCACAAAAAATTGAAATTATTTATTAAAAATTATAGCCACTTAAGTGCTGAGGTATGAGACAGGTAACAAGAATCTCACCTGTGTTTCCTGGACAATCGGGTCAACATTAGTCAGCAAAGCATCTGGGAATAAAATTTTCAATGTCATGAACAGTTCATTTTTTAAGAAACAGATCCTAAAATACTTCTCATGACCTCCAAATGATTTCTCTTAACAAAAATTGTATCTAGACTTTTAGGCTTGCTTTTCAAAATTGCCAGGTCTTAGGTTAATTGCAATTGACTTAATATTTTTTAATAGTTTATCATTCTCTATAGCTACTTCTTGATGATATATAATATTATAAAGGTAAAAATTTTAAATATTTCTTGAATTAGTAAAGGTAATTAATAAAGGAATTAATAAAATGAGCAATAATAAAGATAGAATATATTTTTCCTCCACATGTTTAGTAAGAGAATCTGACTTCCATTTACCTTCTAAAATGTGTATGTATGTGTGTGTGTGCATGTGTGTGTGTGTGTGTGTGTGTGTATGTGATACCTTCTGGTCTTTAGGGTCTCAGCACTCCCATCTCAGATTTGGGGTTCATCTTTGGTGGTATCTGGGGACTATGCAGTGTGAGCAATCCAACCTGGAGTTCCCATATGCAAAGCATATACTCACTCACATATACTCTAGCATCTTTGAGCCATCTCCCTGTCCCAAAGTTAAAATTTCAATGAATAGTTTACATTTGATTTATATAGAAAGATAAATAAAACAAGGCAAACAGAATTCAAGAAGGAAATTATTTTCACTAGATTCACCACACAGAAAATTAAATAACATTTATAATATAAAACATTGTTTAACCTCCAGATAATAGAACACTTTATCAAATGCCCAAGGTATTTATTTTTCAAGGGTAAACCTTGTACAAATAATAGTTATTCTAATTGTAAATATTCTATTTTAAAGTGACTATACATGTATGTTCAAATTGGCTACAAATATTTATTTTATAATTCTACATAACACATGTTCTCTCTTCAAAATGCCTTATTTCAAATCAAATACTTCCAATCATTATGAAGTGATATAATTATAAAAAGTAGGTGTTTTGGAAAAAAAACTGTTTTCAGGGTTCACAAATGTGAGTGTGATGATTATTAAAAATAAAATTTTTTTATAAACTCTAATGCAAATACTAATATAAATTTAAAGTGGTCGTCAGACGTTGTGCTGGAGCAATAGCGTAGCGGGTAGGGCATTTTTGCCTTGCAAACGGCCAACCCAGGTTCAATTCCTCTGCCTCTCTCGGAGAGCCCAGCAAGCTACCGAGAGTATACCACCCTCACAGCAAAGCCTGGCAAGCTACCCATGTCGTATTTGATATGCCAAAGACAGTAACAAGTCTCACAATGGAGACATTATTGGTGCCCGCTCGAGAAAATTGATGAACAATGGGAGGACAGTGACAGTGACAGTGTTAGATGTTATGTTTTACAAGAAATCAATATGCTTTGGGTATACAGAAAATCTAGAATATTTACTGTCATAGAGCCAACAAAGTATACATCATAAACTTTCCCTTAATATCACTACCAAGTGGATTATTCTGAAGTAAAATAGAAATATTTATCTTTTTTGGTTTTTAGAAAAGCTTAAACATACACCCACCTCCAAATACAAAAAGAAAAAGTTTTAATATCTTTACTCCAAACATATTTGAATGTCATTAAAAATGATAAATGTTATCTATCTAAAAATTAGATGTTATCTATCTAAAAATTATATGCAATTAAAAAATTGTACTGGTAGTTATGATTAGCATATCCAGAAAAACAAAATAACAAATTTCTTTTAAGTAATTTAAAATCTACTGCTGTATGATAAATAACAACTTTGCAGAGCTGTTCTGGATTTTGTCAGCTTATTTAACTCTAATTTTGCTCACCCGATTTAAATTTATGTTGCAGGACAAAATATTGTGATGGTATCTGATTAATTACATTAATAGCATCAATATACATATTATTATATACAGATATGCAGGTTTATACCATCTTTTTATTTTATTCAATGTTAACTTTTAATTTTGAATAGCTGAGCATAATCATATGACAATAGTATACAGATTATTTTTTGTATTTGCTATTTGTAACTATGATAAAGTTGTAAATGCATCAAGATCAGTTTAATGCAGCAATTTTAAACTTAAGAAATATTCCCAGTTGCAAACTGCTACTTCCTATGGTCCAGTTCTGATAATACCACATTTAAGGATAAGTAAATCACAATATGTTTAATCATTAATTTTACTACTTTTAAAAATAAGATATTTCTTTCTCATTAATTTAACGTTATCATACGTTATCTCATTAATTTAATGTTATTATTATTATCACCATTGCTAAGCAAGGAGAAGAAGAAAAATGTCTTTTTCCTGTCTATGTTGAAGCTCTTTCCTCAAAACATTTCTCACACTGATAGTGGAATCCACATGCACTGCTGAAGATACAGTACTTCTCCTCTGACACTGTCAAGGCTGAGCAAGAAAAAGCTTAGCCTTAAGTCTAATATCAATAAATATTGCTTTCTCCATAATATAAAATGTTACTGGAAGTTCAACATGCTTAGAAGAAAATGGGTGCATATTTGCTATCCTCTTTGAAAACATTTGCAGTTTCCCATTACAATTTTATTTATAACACAAACTTTGTGCCAGAGGATTTTGAATATTATTAGTATTAAAAAGAACTTTTCCTCCCTGAGGGTTTCAGCAGGTGGGGATATGGGGGAGGTAGGTATTTGGATCACACCAGGCAGTGTTTAGTGATCATTCCTGGTTCTATGCTCTAGTGACACTTTGTGATGCTTCTGTGGATTTGAATAGGGACAGACTCACCATTGTCTCATGCATAGCAAGTGCCTTACTTCTGTGCTATAAAGGCCTTTAAAGAGTGGGGGGCGGAGAGTGATGGGAGGGAACCTGGGACACTGGTGCTGGGAAATGTACACTGGTGGAGGGAAGGGTGTTAGAACACTGCATGAGTGAAGTCCAACCATGAACAGCATTGTAAAAAGAAATACATACATATATATATACATATATATATATATAAAGAGTGTTTTAAAGTTTATTATTGTGACTAAATAGGGTTAAATACTAAAACTTGGTAACCAAAAGGCAATTAGTTTATGTGAACATTAGGATATATTTCTATTAAATTTTTATTTTCATAAATTAAATGTTTAGCTTCTTTCCAATATTACAATTAAAGTAAGTTTAATTTGGAAATGTTTTATAAGTGTTTTAAAATGAAGTAGCATGTACTTCACACAGAAAAAAGATAAAAAGTGATCCCTGTAGACAAATAGGATGCATTAAAGTTATTTTTAACTCCTCAAATATCTTCTCCAAAAATATATATCTTCCATAACACAAGTTTTTTATATTTATAGGTGAATATAATACTAAAAAACTTACATTCAAAAAATAAGTAAAGTATATTAACCAAGCAGTTAAAATTGTTTTAAAGCATAAAATAACATAGTGTGGCTTAATCTCACTAATTACTTTAATGACTAGATAAACATCAGAAGGAGACAAACAATCACATCAATGATGCAACTTGGCATATGATGCATCTTAATGTATCTAATTAAAAGTATTGCATTCAACGTACATACCTCTGTGTTAATATATTTGGATACTGAAAAAACAATACTTGTCAAACCAAAGTTTGTATTATCAAAAGCAGCAACTGTGATGAACTATTAAATGCCTTTCCCTTGAAACACTCAGGTATAATTATTTTAAAGGTTTACTTTTATAATAGTTTGGCATTTTCAAATTGCAAGACAATTTTCCAATAAGAATAAAAATTAGCACATGAACACAAATATTTTAAATGTCTGGACTAAATATATTGTTTGTTATTTTTTCCATATTTAAAAAACTTAATCCATACTGTAAAATGGCTAAAAATAAAAGAAAAATAAGATGGTGATGCAAAAGTACAACCTATACATAGTCAACAGCAATAAACAGAAAACCATACACACATACATACTCACATACACAGCTGGTTAAATGAAAAATGCAATAAGTGACAGAAAAAAAAAAGCACAAGAGACAGAGTTTCTCACTTATAGTAATGTAATATTGGGATCACAATTCTCCACTGTGCTAAGTAATCAAACTTCTAATAATTTTCCTTCTCCCTGGTCTCATTTATTTATCTATTTATTCATCTAAATAATGATTCTGTTTTGAACAGTTACCCTATTAACTCAAACTCTCCACAGATTAATATTCCAGAATCTTCACATTGAAATTAGGCAAGAAATGAACATTTTTTTCATAAACTTTTAAACAAAATAGAAAACCATTTGAATCTCTTGATAACAATTTTTTTCATCTATCAAAATATAAACTCTTGGCAAGACAGAAACACAGACTCATTATCAATTTCAAAAACTAATGTTGAAGCATTTGGTTAATATACCTTGAAGTATATTGTGATAATAATAAAAATTTGAAGTTTCAGTGGTTTTAGTCAGACAACAATTTTCACACAATTAAATGCTATATAGTTTTAGATATTTATAATAAATGTAGTCTATTTAAAGTTCCATTAAAAACATAGGCATTTGAATTTAAAAATCAAAAAATGATTTTTAAAAATATAGACAACTGGAAAATACAAAGTAAATTCATTCATTAATTAGAAAAGATATGCTAAGGAAACACTTATATTTTATGATGCTAGAGTTTCATTGTTCAAAAACTTTCCTAATGACAGAAATTTCTTCCATTCTTTTAGTTTTGAAAGCATTTATATTTTTAAGGATCTTTCAAATACTGCATAAATAAATACGAGAGAAAGGAAAAGCACTGTTCTTTTGTTAATCAGCACCTCATGAAGCATTGTGTAATTGAGGTTTAAAAAAATGTTTAGCTAGTACTAGAGCATTACCATAGAAATGAAGCTGAAAGCACACTTCACTTTGAAAAATGCTTTTGATTTTATAAAATACTACCACACATGCAATCTCATTTATATTTTACAAGAACTATATACCCAGCTTATAGAGGCTGAATAGATTTTGGAAATGTGAAAGGCAAACTTCAGAAAGGGAAAAAGGGCAAAAAAGGGATTTAGGAACTAACAACTAAGTTAGTGAAAAAAAAAAAAAAAGCCCAAAAGACAGTGTTTTGCAAGACCGGTGTAGAAAGTGATCTCTAACTGCTTTAATCTTACTTAGTTTTGAACGTCAACATGATAAACCATGTATAATAAGATGTGCCTCTACCAAGTTATAAGGAACTGAACATTTTATACGTCTTTTTTAGGAAAAGGAAATTAAACAATTTTTGGCATACTTCCCCCCTGTTTTAAATGGCATTTCAAGAGATCTGGCATTACAAGAGATCTAACACAAGAGTTAGTAAACATTAATATGTTCAACTTATGGCAAAGAATCACTTTTGATAAATTATCTATGGTATGATTTTTTTTCATTATTGTTCATTTGGGGGCCACACCTGGCAATGCTCAGGCTTTCTTCTGTTTCTGTGCCATGTTTCAAGAGACCATCTGGGGATATTGAGGATCAAACCTGGGTCTGCCTCATGTAAAGCAAAGGCCTATCTTCTGTCCTATCATTTTGGCCCAATCTTATCACATTATGGATGAAATTTGGTGTGCAGTATTCCCATATGAGTCATTCTTAAAAACAAAAAACCTCAAGGCTCACCTTGTTTAAACTTCAATAAAACAATATCAAGGTAACAGATAATGTTGTAAGGTTCTCAGTAAGTAGATAAGAACATTTATCTATAGATTTTGATTTCAGTGAATGTCTAAAAATGCTATATTGTCAAATATTAAATAATATTAAATAATTAAATAATATTTCACAACAATACGTATTATTTTTTGACAATGAAACCATTACATGCAATGATTTCTAATTCAATTTCATTACAGGTTTTGGTTAAAGAAATAATGCATTTACTCTGAGACAAACATTCAAACTGAGAATTAAGAGTGCTGAGGGAAAAACAAAACCACTACCTGGTTAATGAGCAATGACTTTATATTGCTTTTATATGTAATTTTACTTGACAATAAAACTACTACACATCTCTTAGATAAAGGAAGTCTAGGAATTTCGATTGAATTTTAACTTGTTTTATACTTAATGCAAATTAAAAACATATCATTTGTTCCTTCAGGAAGTATGTAGTGTAGGAGTGCGAACACTGTTGGATAATATGAATATATGTAATATGATGTAAAACTGAAGTAGATTAATTTTCATAAATACAATGTCAACTGAATTTTCTTCCACTTCCTAGGGAAAAATTTTTGTCATAAATAAGAGAAAATTATAAAACCACTAAGGCACTTGAACCAATAATCTGTTTAGAAGGGTACTTGCTTTAACATTATTTAAATATACTTATTAAATATTTTAATTTAAATAATATAACAGAATTGTTCTCTACAATATTTGCCTAGAAATAAATCCCATTGTCATGGAAAGAAAATATACATTATACTTGTTAAAAATATCAATAATTTGTTGGCCCTGGAAAAAAATGGAAAAAATATTTATGCAAAATCTTTTTCTTTTTATTTTTTTGAGATCTGCAATTGCAGAACCTAGAAGCCAGTCTTAGATTAGGAGAAGGCACTGCTGTTATGCCATGCATTTTTCCCTACATCATTTTATATCTTAAACATATGTATATATAGGTGTATATATCTACATATATACACCTATATATGCACGTACACACATATGTATACATACACATCACATTGTACACTACACCATTTTGGCTCTATTAGCCTTATGTCAGAGAGACAAGCCTGAAATTCCAAATTTTACTTTCCTATGTCAGTTCTAAAATTATTTTTTTCATTAAAAAGAAATAATAATTTACACAGCACTTTCCAATATCCACTCAGAACTTGAATGAGCTATTTTTTCACTACGCTCATCAAAATTGTTGGAGTGAATTAACATCCCATTCATAGACATGCTTCTTTTAGAAAATAGTCCACTTGTGTTTGGTGAGTGAATAAAGCAATGGTATTTCTTTAATTCTCCATTCAGGGAATACCTGTGCCTTGCTCTGGATCTCTCAGCTGGCAAAGTGTAAAACTTACTTGGCTTTGAATGTGCTCTTTTAGATGTGGGCCCCTCTGTAACAGATTCAGGAGGTCGACTAGCTAACTGCAATGCAGTTGAATTGTTTCTGTTAGTGTTTTGGGACTCAATACTTGTGACAGCTTCATTCTGTGGTTCGGTACTTGGCTTTCCGCCAGTCTTTCTTTTCTGCTTTTGGGACACAGAAGTGCTTGAAGTCCAGGTAGGAGGCAAAGCAGAGGTAGTGGTAGAGGAGTCCTGACTTGAACAAGTTTCTGTAGATTGTATCACATTGTCATTGGCAACTTTACAACACTGGGCATTCTCTTCATGTCCCACCGCTTGCTTGGACACCGATTGGGGCAGTGTCACACTGCAGCCTTGGATCTGTGCCCCGTTAGTTTGTGAGTAGACGTTGCTGACCTTGGTGACTTTGTGCTGCCCATTATTATTACAAACCTTATACCGGATCATTAGAATAATGATGAAAACCAGCACAGACGCTACAATTATTCCACCAATAATAATAATCATGGTTCCACCCAAAAACTGGGACTGCATGAAATGGCATCGCACGTAATCCTGTTCCGTAGTAAACTGGATGCAACCCACAACTCTTGTGGCAGTGAGGGAAGTGATGCCATCATCATATATTGCCAAGACACACAAGTCATACATAGTTCCAGCAGCCAGGTTATTGACAAGAAAAGTTTTGCTCGTAGGAGGTATCATTCTGAAGGACAATGGAATTTGTGTTAATATTATAAGTGAAACAAAATATATGCACATAGAGAGTCATTCTTTCTTGAGTTCTGTTTCATTTTAGTATTCATTAAGATAAGCACATTCATAACAGATATGAAATATGGGAAATGATCTAATCTTATATTTAGCCTGTTAAAATAGCTAAAAGTCATTGTTGGTGTCTGCATTATATTAATGGTGCCTGCACAGTGCCTTGACAAGATTACTAATTACATTGCTTGGCAAAGCAGAACTCCTAATAAAAGCCACTGCTAAAAAATCATTTATGACAAATTGCTTTTGAAAGGTGTGACTGTGACATTATCTGACTACTAAACAAATCCATTTAGCACTTACAACACCTCTGTGACTAAAAGCCAATTTGAAGGAAGGGAAAACACCGACAATTACATTAGAAACCCAACTAGAAATACATTTCATAGTTTCCAAATCAGTTTTAAGCAGTTATGGAATGGTACCCAGTAAATATGCCTTTAATATCTAAATATTATTGCTAAGGTTAAATACTTTATTTATAGTCTTAGATATCTCATACCTTTAACAATTGGTTCCTAGCATTTTAATCTATGAATGCATATATTTATAAATGTATAACTAATGAAAGTGCATGAATATTATCATAGAAATCTGAACAAAGATGTTAACCAGAGCATAAATTGTACCTCCCTGATAAAATTTTATTTCATATATAGCACCTAAAATTGGATAAGAATTTGTAGAAATTTCTGAATAAATTATATTGTAAAATCTTCTGTGTATGCTAAGTTTCCACAAAGTTCCTTTTCTTAGAATGAACCAAATATAACCTAGACAATGATTTAATACAGAAAAAAATGCTCAAAAATTTATTTATTCCATGAATTTTGGTTTTAGGAATTTGGCAGTGCTTCTCTACTGTTCTATTTAAATAATATGATCTAAATATATCAAGGAGTATTTAAACTGGAATATGTACTGTGATTAAAATCCCAACCACTTAGCAAGTGCATGATCAATTTCAATACACTTTAATGAGCATCTTAATTCAATATTTCCAGTGGACAATATGAGGCATTGTTCACTATTCCACACATGGCAAAAATTAAGGTCATGGATTCAAGTAATTTCCTCAAGATCACATGAAATTTAACTGTTGTGGGAATTTAAAATCTGAGACTTTGAAAAATAAAAAGTAACATATTTCATAATTAATTTAAAGTATATGGATAAAATGGCTAATGGTGTGTGTGTATATATATATATACATATATATACCTGTAAATATATGTGATATAAAATATAAATATGGGATGGTATATATCATTGACAATAGGTTAATCATTGGCTATAGCCTTGATGAAGAGCTGATTTTTATCAGACAAGGCTACTTTGTGCCAATGTACATGTGTCAGAGTGTATATTCCCATACAATTGATGGTGGTAGGTATTTTAGAAACCTAGGTGGTAAATACATAGGTAGTAGGTATTTATATATATTTTTAAATACGAGAAAATTAAAATACATGCAATTTGAACCTTATTTAGGATTAATTACATAGCTATTTAGATTGTTTTTCTGTCACACTAGTCTGTGATTTTTTTTAAATTTCTCTCATTTCTATAAGTGAAAATCTGAGTGAAAATCAACTATCTTCCCAAGTTCACTTGTGTGTATATGGTCTAAATATATCTATTCCAGAAGAACAGAAAGAAAAAAAATGAACATCATAATTTTGTGTCATATAGAAAGAGTTGTCTACCAGAAGTAAAATTTTATGGAGGGATTAAATGTATATTTCCAACTGAATATTGGACAAGATGTGACCATAAATCAATGAGGCTGAATTTCAGAAAAACATACCAGAAATTCCTTAGTCAGATGCAAAATTCTACATCAATGTCCTTACCTGGAAATTATACAGTTAGCTCCAGTGATACGTTCACTGCTCAAAATATTTATAAAATTTCTTTTTTGGAACTCTCTTAAGAACCATTATATATGAGACAACACACACGCACATAAATCAATCACTCAAAAATCAGTCTCATTAGTTTATAGTTACATCCTATATTTTTGACCAAAAATGGCAATACCCATCTTGATCACCCACCTTATTCATAAGACTTGGCTCCAAGTGGCTTTTGCTTGTTTCCAAAATTCAAATTCACCCTCAAAAGACGAAGATTTGCCACCACTGAGGATATTCAAAATAGTATGACGAGGTTCTAAAGATAATTCCAAAAGTGCTTTGAGCAATGGCAGCATCATTGGGATAATGGTATAGCCTCCCAACGTGACTTCCTTGAAGGAAAGAACACTCATGTGGATGTGTAAGTTCTGGTATGTTTTTGAATTTTTTTAAATAAATCAATCTTGTTCTCTGATAGTCACATCTCTTAAATGAGGGGGGAAAAGTAAGCATAATATTAAATATAAGCTTGATCTCTCTAACAATATCACCATTTTCAATACTTCCCCACATGTATACACCTTTCATAAGCTTTGCATTAAGAACTGTTTTAAAAAAATGGAGTCTTGGATACAATACAGAGTAGCACCATCAATTTAGAAAAAATAAGCAGTACTTAAGCATGCTTTCTACTAAGATGCATGGGAAATACAAGACTTTGCTTACTTTTTCTTACCTGTAAACAAGGGTGTCATCATAAGTACCATTGTACTGGATCTGAAACATACGTATTCCGGGGATATTTCTTTGAAAATTAAATTTAAGTAGTGCCGTAGATGATGTTGCTTCTGCCACCACAATCTTATCTTGACTCATTTTAGTATCACCATTGCTGCTGCTTGCATTTGAACCTGACTTAGTAGAAGTAGAAATATCTGAAGAACCAGGGTCAGGCTCATGAATATGGTTTGTACTATTTAATATATGGGGGAGTTTAATTATATGAAGATCCACTGTTTGAGTGGCTTCCCCAGCAGGATTGGAAGCAATGCAGGTAAAAGCACCTGTATCTTTTACAGTTGTTATCATAATGTCGAGCGTTCCATTGTCATACACCAGAGATCTTGTTGCATTTGAAATAAGCTTTCCTTCTGGAGAAATCCAGTGAATTGCAGGCTCAGGATCTCCTCTGGCTTTGCACCTCAGTGTTGCCCTCTGACCTTCCAGGACTCTCATCTCATGTGTGTGCCGAGTAATGAGAGGAGGCTCACACAAAAACTCTTCCTCAGGAATTGACCAAAAATAGCGTCCGGTTAAAAGTGCTGGCGAAGCACACGTCTCTAAGTCATCTTCTCTGGACAGACGCCTCAACCACAACAACTCACAATTGCAATGCAAAGGGTTTCCACCAAAACTTAATGCAAATGTCGATGGGCTTATTATTCCTGAGGTCGCTAGTACCTGAGCTCGCTGAAAGAGAGGGTCAGGTGGTAGCTTCTGCAATTTATTTGATGTTACATCTAGTCGAGTCATCTTGTGCAAGTGGGAGAAGGTTCCTTTAGGAATGTTATCAATCATGTTGTGATCCAAACTGAGGGTGTGCAAGCTAACCATTTTCTCAACAGCATCCCAAGGAATTGTTTCTAAATTGTTATAGGACAAATCCAGCTCTTCAAGGGCAAATACATCATCAAATGCAGTTGAAGAAATCAAAGTCAGCTGATTGTTGTTCAATATCAAATGATGGAGATTGGAGAGTCCACTGAACATGTCATTTGTGATTTTAGTCAATCTGTTGCTATTCAAATGGAGTGCCCTCAAATTTCGCAAGTCAGCAAATGCATGAGGTGTAATGAAACTTATTGTATTCCGAGATAGAGTCAGATCCACCAAGCTAGTCATATTGGCGAAATCTTTCCTTTTAATGTTTGTAACAAAATTGTCTGCCAATCGCAGTTCTACAGTTCTTCTGTCAATGTTTGGTGGAACAAATAAAAGCCCTTTCTTGGCACATAGGGTTGCAAGATTCGGAGACAAAATCTGACAGACACAACGCTTTGGACAGATCTGAGCTTTCACAGCTATGCCAATGAAAAACAGATAAAAAAGAAATTTTTCCATTGTAGATCAGATGTAAGACCCTGTTAAGATAAGATACAAAATAAACTGTTAACATCCAAACCCTTGATGAGTATTTGTATTTTACTAAAATAATCATTTAATGCAAATAGGAATCCATAAACAGGTTACTTCTTAACAAACAAGCAAAAGAGGTCTACTTAAACTGGAGATTAATAGACAGTAGGATAAGTACATACAGACATGTTTGTATGTATGTATGTATGTATGTATGTATATATTATACACATACATATATACAAGCATACATATATTTATATGTTTTGCAGCTTCACATTTAAAGTCAAACTGAAAAACAAAGAAGTCAACAAGTTGTCAGAATTTTGTCAGTTAAGTGTTATTAAGTGTAAAAGAAGGCATGGGCATTCAGTCCCAGGGAGGCTGGGAATCCAGGCAAACATCCCCTAAACTTTGAAAGACATCTTGTTCTGCAAAAGAAAATTCAAAGCTTAATGAAATAGTTAAGGATTATAAAGTAGTTCTCTTTACTAGACTGAGTAGATATGAACACATATAAATGAGATATTTTTAACTGAGTTAACTGTAAGTTATAATATTTTGAAGTAACTAACTGATTAGATTTTACATATCTTTACAAACTTGGAGATAGACCACCACCACATCCTCACTGCAAACCTCATGCTCAAAGTTAGTAAGGCTGAACGTTTAGCAAAAATTAGTTGAACTCCTTACACAATTAACTATTTTACATGAAATCGTTTTTTAAAGATATTTCATGGAAAGAACTCACTAATATACTTGACATTGGGTTAAAAAGGATATTGTGGTCCTTTATCCTTTTTTTAGAATCTTAATATATTGATAAATTTCAAATTTCATTAAACATTTACAGTTTCACTTTTAGTTTTTAAGGCTTCTTTTCCCCCTTTTATGAGGGGTTCATACCTGGTGGTGCTCAGGGTATATTCCTGGTTCAGCACTCAGGGATAACTCCATGTGAAGTTTGGGGACCATATGGGATGCTGGGGATTAAACCTGGGTCAGTCATGTGCAAGGCAAGTGACTCAAACATTGTTTTATTTCTCTATTCACATCATTTTCAGTTTTATCTTAGATACATAGTTACGAACTAGTCCTAAAAATAAAAAATATGCTATATTTATGTGAACAAAAGTTCTTATTTAAAATTTTAAACAGGGAGAGGGCTAAATAAACATTGAAAACAAAGTTTATTAAATAGAAATAAGTGCAACATAAGAAATTACTATACATATAATGTATCCAACTTTTAATCCAGAATATCCTTAGAGGTTTGCTTTAATGTATTCCTATTTTCTGTTAGATAAAATATGATTAAAATTTATGCCTATTTTCTGCTATGTAAAATATGATTAAAATTTATGTCTATTTTCTGCTATGTAGAATGTGATTAAATATTATTCTCAACAAATGAAATATAATTTTACTTGTACAAAAAATATAAATGAACTCTGTGATTACTCATGGAGGCACAGTTGAAATCACAGGAAAGGGAAAGAAAACCTGTAAGGCAAAAACTGTCATCTTGATTGAAATAAATGACAGAGCAAAAAGGAGATTAAATTTATGGAACTGAGTTTTAAAATGGAAATGGATATCAGAATAAAGTACTCCAGTAAAATAGTTAGTAAAAGACAGGACAAAAATACAGTTAGTAATGAACAAGTGACTTAAATGAAGGAGGTAGAGCAATTAAAGAAGTTAAAAAAAATCTCAGTGGTTTGTGAAAAAAAATTAGGAAGTCAATTTTAGCTGGAATCTTCCATTCCATGTGTAGTATAGCTTACCATTACTGGCTAATGTACCTATTGGTTGCTTCAAAGTTCTTGTGACTATGAATGAAATTGCTGTGCATACTTACATGAAACCTTTTTTATAGATGCCAAGTTTAACTCTTTTTTTCAAATACTGAGAAGAGCAAAGCAGTAAGATTGTATTCATTTTTTGTTTTTAAGGAGAGGGAAAACTTTCTCCAGTGTGGTTGTGCTGTAATTCTCCCCAGCTCTATATAAATTCATTTTATTTCCTATGTTTTCAACACATGGTGTTATCATAAATATGTGAGATGTTCTTTATAACAGATGTGTCATTGTTTTCTATGGATGATACCAGTAGCTATCAAAAAAGAACAAGAACAATCCATGTTGGTGTGGCTGCTGGGAAAAAGGGACTCTCACTGCTGGTGGGAATACTGACTGGTTAGTGTTTTTGGAAAACAATATGGACATTTCTCCAAAGAGTAGCACTTAATACAGCAATTACAGCAATACAATCCAACTCCTGGGAAAATACTCCATAGGTCCCAAAACACAGTGCAAGAAAGGCATCTGCACTCCTATGTTCATTGCAGCCTATTCAAAATAGCTAAAATCTGGAAATGACCCAAATGTCCAAGAACAGATAATTGGATAAATAAACGATTGTGCACAATAGAATACTACTTGGCTGAAAGAAAAGATGAAGTCTTGCAATTTGCTGATACACAGATGAATCTGGGGAGAACCGTGGTAAGTAGAATGAGTCAGAGAGAGAGAGAGAGAGAGAGAGAGAGAGAGAGAGAGAAACACTGAATGATCTCACTCATATACAAAAGATAAATAAACATAGCATAGCAATAACTAACACCCAAAGACAATAGGAACAAATCGAAGGAGATAAGGGGGTGGAGGTATAGGTCAATCTTGGGACCACAAGAAAATGATAAAGGGGAATGGTTGCTCTGGACCAGGACTAGGTGCTAGAAGTAATATGCACAATACCCTATCAATGACAGTACTGTAAACCATGGTGCCTAAAAAGGGAAAAAATTTTAAAGTGCCTGTGATAGTGGCAGATTGAGGGGCAGGAGGAAAAACAGCAACATTGGTGGAGAGACGTGGACACTGATAAAGGGATTGGTGATGGAACATTGTACATTCAAACCTAAATTATGAATGAATGACTTTGTAATACATGGTGAGTCAACATTTTTAAATAATAAATAATACAAATTAAGAGATATAATGTGGAATATTTTCATACTTTTTAATACATTTCTGTCTATATTTGTTGTTGTAATTGGTTTTTAAAACTTTATTTTGCAACCATAACCAGGGACAATAGAAACAATTTCTCTTGACTCTGTGTTTAGGGGGGTTACTCCTGGCAGGCCTTAGGGGATCATATGGAGTGCTAGGAATTGAGTAGGGTCAGTCACGTGCAGTGGAAGTTTCTTAACCCCTGTGTTATCTCCCTGGACCATTTATATCTTCTTAAGTGATATGTAAGTCAAGGTCCTTGGCCCATTTTACATTCATGTCTATTTTTTACAATATTATACGGTTTCAGGGGTTCTTTGTATAATTTTTATAATCAACATTTATCACTTGTCTCTTTTTCAAATAAATTTTATCAGCATTTAGCTTGTCTTACCATTCTGTTAGTGTTTCCACTTGAAGAGATATGTTTAATGATAGTGTGTCTTACAGCTTATCACTTATTTATGGACCATATTTTAGGGTAAAAAGTAAAAAAGTAAAGGCCCTCCCGTTGATCGTCGATTTGCTCGAGCGGGCCCAGTAACGTCTCCATTGGAGACTTTGTTGTTACTGTGTCTGGCATATCGAATACTCTCGGTAGCTTGCCGGGCTCTCTGAGAGGGGCGGAGGAATCGAACTCGGGTCGGCCATGTTGGCTGCATGCAAGGCAAATGCCCTACCCACTGTGCTATCGCTCCAGCTCCAATATTTTAGGGTAGTATACAAAAAGACCATAACCATAACTTCGGTCACTTAGGCTTTCTATTATGGAATTTTATACATTACATTTGATTCTCCAATCCATTTGCATTACTTTTGTATGGGTTGTAAACTTATTCACATTCCTTTTAAAGCACAAGAATATCCAGTTATTCTAGCACCATTTGTTGAGTCTTTTCTCCATTGCATTTCCATCTACTTTGTCTAAGACTTTAACAATGTTCACAAGGATCTTTTTCTGAACACTATTCTACTCTATGATATATCTGTCCTTTCTTTCACTAATTTGTATTCTATTACTGTGACTCTATAGTAAGCTTTTCAGTCAAAGAACATGGGTCTACCCATTGTTTTTCTCCTTCAATATTGGGCTAAAATGACTGGCTTTTTTAAATCTTTTCATATGAACTTCAGAATTTGCTGATTATTTATATAGTGACTTTGAATCTTAGATTTTGCTATAGGAGCCATCTTATGTGTCTAATTGTTAGTACACCTGTTCTGTGAATTTAATTCCTGAGTTCACACATGCTAACATATAATCCTAGTAACAGTGCTTTTTCTGATCCCTGATATCACATAAAGACATGCAACATCTGGCATATTACAACCAAGTGTGTGACTGTCACACACTAACTGTTACAACTAACATTCACATTTCTTGCCCAAGTGAGCACTGCTATTTTAATGTGTGAGCACCTCAACAAATTATGAGACCTATCATAACAACAACAACCAAATTTCCACAACTCAGATCATCACAATAATGCAACAAGTAAAAGGAAAATAAATTTTGAAAACTTTTTTTTTAAAGAAGAGTTCACTTTGTGTATTTTAGACAGCAGATTTTACCTAAAAAGACTTACAAAATTGTGTTCCGGGAATCTTCCTTAAGATTTGCATCTCTTTGGGAGTTTAGTGCTATGAAAGTAAGGTATTGAGTAGGAAGTGTTCTATAACCTCAAGATTAGGTCTGTCTTTTAGTGAATTTATCTCTTTCAACTGTTAACTTGAAAAGCATTTCTCAACATTTTTCTTCCCCCTTGGATGAGATGGTTGGCTGACTAAACTATAATTGAATTCAGTTCTTTTAATGGCAAGATAGAACAGGTAGAATTAGTATTTCCTACAGTTGAGATAGAAAGTAATAAAACTGCAATGAATTAAGCTACTAGCTAAGAAGTACTAAGCACTTTATCACACTGGTTTTCAACTGTTTTCATACTAAATAGTGATTGGAATCTATTAATCCAACATATTCAAAA